ACTATCCTTGGGTTAGTACATGTGTATATACTTACTTTGCAAATTATTTTTATTGACGTAGTGCGTCAAAATGTTTACAGTGTGAAAAACTTAAAGATTTTTTTGGTAATTTATAAAAAAGGGAAGTCACCTCTATTAGTGACTATGACGTTGTGCGATTCGATTATCTTGCACCGTTCGCATGATACAGGGGTTTTCAGTTTCCTGTTCCTAAAAATTCCTAAGGCCAGTATAGAATTTTTATTTGGAAAACGATTCATGCTATTGAGTTGCGGTTTGCGACACAACGTGGCACAACACAGCACAATCAAGAAAAATCCAAAATCCGTAAAGTGAGTGGCCAACTTCACACACGTTGCTTCTGCTGTGTTTTTACGCTCTTTCCAAATGTCGCCGCGATTATCCTTTGACACATTAACGTTTATGAAAGGATGAGCACGAGCGATGTAACTTCAATATCTCAAATTGAAATACGACGAAATGACGTCGATGTGATATTTGGAATTTACTATTATTTTCAGTGATCTTTGCGCTTCTCGGTTAAAGAAATATTAGATATGCTTTCAAAAAATGATTGGAATTGCAAATTTATACATTTCATATAAAAATGAAAAATGTTAAGGTAAACATACAAGTATAAACCGGACATGTACTGTAAATCCGGATATTTACACAAAGTTTAATTATTCATGTCTTTATTTAGGGATGCTCCGAATAATAAACTACCGGGCACCAGATATCGGATGTCCGGCATCAAATTCTATTTCGATATTTGATGACGTCTCATAAGTTAGCGGAACAAAGTGAGCGGAATCGATTCTAACTAACATTTTTATTTGTTGCTCATTTGTTGCTAAAAAGTTGCCAAAGAAAAAAATTTGTTGCTCTGTCGATTTATTTAAAAAAACGATGTTTCGCTAAAAAGGAAGATTCAGTTAGCGGAACAATACCTACAACAAGGCCAATCTACGCAGGAATTTGTTGCTAATTTGTTGCTAATTTGTTGCTAATTTGTTGCTGCCAAAATATCATTTTTTTTAGTACTTTACATACTAAAGAAGTGTAAATAACAACGAGAAGCCTCAGCGTGCGGGCGGAAGAAGAGTAAAGTATCAGTAAAAGATTTGTTGCTCGCTTAAATTTGGTACTAGGATGTCGTCCGAATTTGTTGCTCTCGAAATATGCAATTTAGCAATTTGTTGCTTGCAAAATAAGTGTTAGGAATTATTAAAATACAAGTAATTCGTAATCTATAAAGCTGACTTCTATTCTCTGCCTTTCCAAATTATATCTGTATTATATCACACGTCCTCTCTAAAAACGGTCCGCCGTCGTAATCGTTCGGGTGTTCTCGTTGCCGACGTGCTTCCCCCACTCCACGCGCAGTCCTGCGCGGTGATGCGCGTCGCTGCAGGGCCCGTTCTCATGAGTCCTGCGACTGCCCCTGATATTCCTCACATTCGGCCATTCTGAAGTTTGTGTCTGTCCCCAGACACCTCGAGTCCTTGGCATTCGTTCCTCTGTCATTGGCGGCATTTTTCTTTCTCTCTCTCTGTTCGATCCTTGATCCCGGGTCCTATGTGGCCGTTGAACAGTATTCAGCCTAAATTGTGTAGCAGAGCTAATCGAGTACCGTCGTACTGACCGGCGTCAGTCCGTATAATCGTCTCAAACTAACACTCCAATATCGTCTGAAATCGACCTGTATGATTGAGCTAACTTATTGTCATTTGTCGACCAGACTCAATCCGTATAACTGATCTGACGTGGCAGCACTGTACCAGCCAGAACCAGTCCGTATTACTGATCCTATCTGCGAAGTAGAGTCTTAATGCTCAGAACGACAAAAATTTTCGAAATTGAGATTTTTTTATTATTTCTTAGTCCAATATGGTGCTCTAGGACTGTTACGATCCCTCTATAGCCTTACACCGTCAATGTTCCACAAGCTTTGCGGTGTCTTTGTTCCTTAAAGCGGTCTTTATTCATCCAGAACAGCTACCCACGGTTTTATTTGGTCCGCGGCCACTACTGTTCGACGTCGTCCGCCTCTTTTGAATTCTCAAAATTGGACGTACAATTAGAAAATTATTATTATATGAAAATTGACGTGTGCGTGAGATATTGATGAAGTAGTATGTAGTGATGTATCGATTACACATAAATTACGTGTAAGTGCTATTTACAATATAACTATTCGTCTTTACGATCCCCTTAAAGCTATATGGAAAAAAATTTTAATTTGAATACGTGCTATAATCAATTAAATGTAGAGGCGAAGAATTAAGAACGTTTTATATAGTTTTTCAAAATGATAACATAATTATGAAGAAATTACGGATTATTCTAAATCACGTTTAAAAATAATACGACAAATGTGACGATTTACTATCTGAATCCTAAGTTATTTCAATAAATAGTAGTATTTTTTTAACTGTGCTCTAATAAACAAATGTGGTAATGCATTAAATAGAATGAATAATAAAAATTTCAATTTTTTATTATAAGTATGTTATGTATTTAGGATTATTTATGTAGAGTTACATTGCGATGCATGAACTAACTGTTCAGTGAATAAACAAAATACTTATTTGTTCCATGTCTTTGTAACTATTCAGTGAATCGCAATGAAACATTTTATAATTTATTTTATGTGAATGTTCAAGGTACTTACAAAAGAAAAATGTAAATTTTGGTGAACCCATCCACAATTACTAGAAGGAACTTATTGCGCTTTCGGCTTGTTTCGAACGGGCCGACGTGGTCAACGTAAAGTGTATGAAAAGGGATTGGAGTCTTATCAATGCTATTCAATTTACATTGTTTTTTCCCTACGGTGTGTTAGTAGTACGCGCAACTTAAGCATGCACCGACGTACTTTTTTATGAAGCGGCGCATTCCGGCAAACCAATAATTTCTCTTCACTCAATCTAATGTCTTTTCTGCACTCAAATGACCCGCGTCGTCGTGGCATAGTCGGCAGATCTGCATTCGTGCATCTCGCGGTACTACCCACACGCTATTCTCGTCGTCTATCCGTCTATACAGCTTGTCGTTTTTCACCGAATATTCATCGAAGTAATGCTTCGTTTCGCTCGTCGGCTTCCCACATAGCAAAATCGATCGGATTCGTAGTATTTGTTCGTCCTTTAATTGCGCTGCTAGTATCCAGTCACCTTCCGTAACATCAATATGTGATACCTCTAATTCGAATGGCACGGGGTTTCTGCTCAAAGCGTCGACATGTGACATTCTCGATCCCGCACGATACTCTATGTCGAAAGTGTGTTCTTGCACTTCGAGCCACCACCTACCAATCCGAGGTAATAAGTCCCGCTTCGCGAAAGTGGCCCGCAATGCATTACAGTCGGTTATTACTTTGAACTCTAATCCTAGTAAATAAACTCGAAAGTGTCGTAGTACAAAGACAATTGCCATCGTTTCTAGTTTGTACGAGTGGTAGCAACGTTGGTCTGCCGTTGTTTGTTTACTGTAATAAGCTATTACGTGCGTCTGACCGTCGTTTTTCTGTATTAGCGCGGCGCCTACACTTATTGCGCTCGCGTCGATGTGTACCTCAGTCGGTTTACTCGGATCGAATATTGCTAGTATCGACCGAGATGTAATCTTATCCTTTACAGTATTTAGCGCCGTCTCTTGAGCTTCCCCCCACATCCAAGGGACGCCCTGCTTCGTCAGCCTTGTCAGCGGTTCAACGATCGTGGCGAAATTCTCAATATACCTCCTAAAGTAACTAGTTAAACCTATGAGTTGACGTACTTATTTCACCGAACGTGGCGATTTTATCTATAATACTGCCTCGACCTTGCGCCGTCCGGGTCGCACTCCTTGCTCATCTATCTCTCTACCTAAGTATTCGATCGACCTCGTGAAAAATGTGCACTTATTCAAATTGAATGTTAATCCGTGTGTGCGAAACGTTTCTAATACCTGTCGCAAGCGCTCTAAACTTTCTTCTATAGTTTTCGACGGTATTATAATATCATCTAAGTATGGAAAAACGACCGTATTTTTTAAGTTTCCTAGTACCTTATCCATCAAGCGCTGGAATACGGCGGGCGCATTAGCCAAACTGAAAGGCATACGCAAAAATTCGTAATGTCCCTCTGGCGTTACGAAGGCTGTCTTCTCGATGGAGTCTTCCGCCATCGGTACCTGATAATAGCCGGATGCTAAATCTAATCCGGTAAAATACCGGTTACCTCCGAGATTATCAATCTGTTCCTCAATCCGAGGCATAGGGTACTTATCCTCGACCGTAATAGTGTTTAATTTACGGTAGTCTATACATAATCGATAGTCATCGTTTTTCTTTTTTACTAATAAAATCGGACTCGCGTATGGTGATTTCGACTCGCGGATAATATTGTTATCTAATAGTTCTTGAATCATTTTTCTTACAACACGCTTTTCAGATTCAGCTAGTCGATAGGGACGGTATACGTCCGGTATCTCGGTAGTGCAACGAATACTCAATGACGAGTTTGTTTTCCCTAAGCTACTTATCGATGACGAGATACAATCGCTGAATTCTTGGATGAGTTTATTGCACGGCCGTTGCGCCTCTTCATCGACATCGTTTACCTTTTTGTTATCTATCGCGACTACATGCAAAAATTCAACAACAACGCTATCGTCGGTCACATCGTTATTGGTCAGCAACGTTCTAAACGATAATACATTACCTTTCTTAACCGTCACTATGTGTTCCTGCTCTAAAAAGTCTCGACCGACAATTACGTCATAGGTGAGATAACAATCCGGTACAACTATTGCAGTTACCCGAGCCGATGCTTCCATAATTCGAATGTCAATTGACGCCGATCTTTCACTGGTCGTACTCTGTCCTGCAAAGCCTCTCAATATCACACTCGGTGCTGGTGTGGTCGCTATATTATATTTATCTATTATCGATTCTCGCAGTAACATACAATCGCTGCCTGTGTCTACTAGTCCCTTAACCTTATGCTGATTCACTACTATCGTACGCTCATATTGAGCTTGCCGCCTAACCTTTCAACCACGTAGACGTCTTTTCGATGGGGGCATTTTTCGCCGAGATGCCCCAACCGGTTGCATCGATCGCACTCTACTCGCGGCTTTCGGCACTTCCTCGCGATGTGACCTGACTTACCGCAATTAAAGCACTCGATTCGCGGCTTATTATTGTTCGAATCGTCGTTAGTTCTTCCGTTTGTTGACGTGTTCGGCTCGCTCGCGGTCTGCGCATGTCCCTTCTGCGATCCATCTGCGGATTCACCTTTGCGTTCACTCTTATTAGTGAGCGCAAACGTTTTACCTTTCTCGCTTCTAAACGGCATATTTCCCAGTGTCGTCATGTACGCGTACAACGAATTAGGATTCGTATGTTGTGCGGCCCGTACCGTCCTCGCGACACGCGCATCCACGATTCCGCCAATCACCGCGTCAACAAGATATTTATCCGCAATATTAATATCTAACTTACGTAACTTGTTCAATTTTTGGAAGCAGTAATCTCCTAAAGATTGTCCAGGACTGCTTTCGTACAGCGCGGCCTCTCTAAATAGTCTGCTAAAAGGTATTTCCTTGCGGAACTGTTGTCGCAACAATTCTTTTGTCTCGATCCATGTAACCGCCAATCGTTGTCGTGTGTCGTACCATAACCGCGCATGTCCCTTCAAGCGCGATGGTATTAGTCTCATGATGGCCTTATCGTCCCAATCGTATTGTGCTGCTAATTCGTCCACGTGCTCGATCCACTTCTCTATTACCAAATCATCTTTCGATGGATCGAACGGAGGTATCATGAGTTCGTCCCTTTTGTGGATGCACGAACCCTGTGTACGAGTATGAGATCGTCTATCTAAGCTGTCCACGATGCGTTCTAACCAGTCAAAACGTTCGTTGCGGCGTTTCCTCTCGTCTCCTGATGTCGAGTGAGATGAGCGCCGTCTTTTTCGTTTCGGGTCATCGTACTCGGCATCACTTCGCGACTTATGATGTCTCTTGTCGCTGTCCGATGTCGAGGAAGATGAATGCCTTCTCTTCCGTTTCGGATCGTCACGTCGCGACTTATGGCGTCCCATTCCATCGTTATTTCTCGTCGTATTATCAGGCTCACGGCACTGACTCACTGTATCCCACTTCTGATATGTTAGGAATTATTAAATACAAGGAATAAAGCTGATTTCTATTCTCTGCCTTTCTAAATTATATCTGTATTATATCACACGTCCTCTCTAAAAACGACCCGCCGTCGTAATCGTTCGGGTATTCTCGTTGCCGATGTGCTTCCCCCACTCCACGCGCAGTCCTGCGCGGTGATGCGCGTCGCTCGTCGTTGCAGGGCCCGTTCTCATGAGTCCTGCGGCTGCCCCTGATATTCCTCACATAAGTATAAATAACCGCGTAAAACCTCAGCGTGCTGGCGGAACAAGAGTAAAGTATTAGTAAAAGAATTTTCAGTACCAATTTTAAGCGAGCAACAAATCTTTTACTGATACTTTACTGTTGTTCCACCAGCACGCTGAGGTTTTACGTGGTTATTTATACTTATTTTGCAAGCAACAAATTGCTAAATTGCATATTTCGAGAGCAACAAATTCGGACGACAGCGCAATACCAATTTTAAGCGAGCAACAAATATTTTACTGGTACTTTACTCTTCTTCCGCCCACACGCTGAGGCTTCTCGTTGTTATTTACACTTTTTTAGTATGTAAAGTATTAAAAAAAATGATATTTCGGCAGCAACAAATTAGCAACAAATTCCTATGTTATTTCTGCGTAGATTGGCTTTGTTGTAAGTATTGTTCGGCTAACTGAATCTTCCTTTTGAGCGAAACATCGTTTTTTTAAATAAACCGACAAAGCAACAAATTTTTTTCTTTGGCAACTTTTATAAAATAAAAATGTTAGTTAGAATCGATTCCGCTCACTTTGTTCCGCTAACTTATAAGACGTTATTTGATGTGCGGGAGGGCAGTTATCCAACCGGATAACGGATACTTCCACGGATATTCTGCCTGAAAAATGTCTTCGAAGAAAAAAGAAAGAATGGCATGGTCCTTTAACTAAAAACAAACAAAATACAGTTGTTTAATGTTTTTAGTTTTTAGCAATTGTTTAGCAATTTCGTTTAACATTTCTCAACTTACTGATTGACAAATTGTTATTTTCTGTAAGGCGCGCAGTTTTCCCTTTTCGTTTTCTGAAATTATATATTAAAACAACTGAAACTGAATTGTAAATATTGGAGCAAACACATTTTGAAAATCTTCTACTCATATATAAAATATTATATTGAAAAGTAAAAGTAAATAAAAAAATTCTAATTTAGTCTGACTTCTGATTACTTATTAACGCAATTAGAATATGCATATTCATAACGCATATGTCATAACATTATTTAAAGGCATAACTAAGTCTTTCTCATTCAATTCAGATGCACAAGTTCCAGATTTCATCGAGTCAATGATCTCTTACATACACTTTATTCTGATCTGTTCGAAAGTAGTACAGATTACAAAAGACAAAATAGATCTATCTTAGTACATCAGCGGATAACAGGAGCTAAGGATCACAATCAATATACATGGATTATAATGTAATAATTATTTAACAGAATTACTGTGTACACACATGCACTCGCATGTAGGTATATAGGTATACAGAATGTCTCAATCTAACTTTCACATCGACATATTTCAAAAAGTACTTAAAAAATGTTTTCTGTGAAAGTGCAACTGCATCGAGAGGCCTATTATGATCACGTTATTCTTTTCTAGATAGAAATACGATGAGGGACGCAAAAGGGATGAAAAAGATGTAATGTTTATCTACGCTTTTTAAAATGGAACCATATGATTTTTTACGTAATATGATTTCTCTATAATCATTCTGCATATCAAAGTATTAAGTTAGAAATAGAAGAAAACCAATAACTTACGAGATATTATAGAAATATTTCTCTGGCATCATTGACATGACACATTAAATGCCTAATAAACCATTAATTTTTGGATAATTGTAATATCCTAATACCTTTATGAATAGAATAATGTGATACATCTGGTGTAAAAAAAACATATACTTGTTTGTTTAACAAAATTATTCATTATGCCTAGATATTTTTGTGATAAGACTTGAAAAAATGAGCGATCATTCGCCGATTTCAATATTCTTGACATATTATATATTGTCAAGGTCGTGACCCTAAATGACCTTCTACAGGTTTTTTAGTTGTCGCTCGTCCTTCCTTAAAAAGGTATTATCAGATAAAATTGATAATATAAACGTATGTTTAACTTTTCGTTTCTTGTTCAAATGGAATAAAGCGGACAAATTCTCTGCTTTAAAACACAAATTCACTCCTTTAAAACACATTTTCTCTTCTTTACAAAACAAATTCTCTACCTTGAAGACACAAATTCTCTGCTTTCAAAACGAAAATAGTATGTAATAATAAAAAAGTAGCTAAGTTCAAATATGATGAAATAGAAAAAATAAAATAAGTAATTTCAACAAATTATTCAACAAATGTTGCAGAGTATAAGTAAACACGTTCACGCGTTCATAATGTGAAA